CTGCCTTGGCCTTGTTCCACATGAGAGCTCATTCCTGGGGACGGCATCAGATGGAGAGCAGCAACTGTTGAATTACCCTTTGTTTGCCTCTCTATGGCCAGCTTGTAACCTGAGGAGTGCAAAAATGTGCAGCTATTTGTAGGGGCTGGCTTCAGAGCGCTAATTGTGAAATCTCCTAGGTAGGAAGCTAGCCTGATTCTGCTGCTAGGTTCACTCACGGCGGACCAATTCCCACCGTGGCGTTGTCAGTGGGCATGTGTCCTCAGGACCGGCCACGTGACCCAACTTGCTCTCTGTCAGCGGCGTGACCCAGAAGTCCCAGTTGGTTGTTGGGTGAGGTAGGAACCATTCAACCTCTGCTTCCTGCCATTCATTGATCCTTTTCCATTGCTCCATTCCAGCTGCAGTTACTCATTGATGCTGCTGAAACTCTCCTTCCTTCCTTCCTGGAGAGAGAGAGGGAGAGCGAGCACAACACAACATAGGCCGCTCACAGCACCTCAGGCTGTTCTGCTGACTAAGACCCCATTTGCATCACCAAGTAACAACTGGTTAAATTTAATTCCGCTGGTGCTACCGTCACACAAACTCACTGACTGTAGGTATTAGCGCTAGTATGATTATAAAAGCAATTATCAAGTTAGTTCTTGCATCTCGGTAGGGCTCGCGTTCTGCATAGGGGTGTATACTCAGAAATCTGATGCTGAGTTTCTGCATAACTCGAGTTAACATATTTGCGGATGCTCTCTGAATAGGGACACACAGGAAAAGACTGAAATGATGAACTGTTGCTCATGGATGTGAAGCCTCAATTCGCATTGCTGGCAGGTCTCGGAAGTCAGGCCTGGCCTGCTCTGGGAAGAGGGGAGATTGAGGCTGCATGCAAGTTACTCATTGTCACATCAACTTTGGGACCTTTTAGCTTAGAGGAGGGTTTCCCAAACTTGGGTCTCCAGGTGGTTTTTTTGGACTACAAAACTGCAGTCTAAAAAACAGCTGGAGACCCAAGTTTGGGAAACAAACTTAGAGGAAGGTGACACGATAGAAGTTTATAAAATTATGCAAGGAATAGAGAAAGCAGGTAGAGAAAAGTCACCATTCCCCTAGAACTCATAGACTATTTATTTATTTATTTATTTATTCATTCATTCATTCATTCATTCATTCATTCATTCATTCCCCGCCCATCGGGCTGAGTTACCCCAGCCACTCTGGGCAGCTTCCAATTAAGTGTTAAGAACAATACAGCATTAAATATTAAAAACGTCCCTTCAGATGTCTTCTAAAAGTGTGGTAGTTGTTTTTCTCTTTGACATCTGGTGGGAGGCCGTTCCACAGGGCGGGTGCCACTACCAAGAAGGCCCTGTGCCTGGTTCCCTGTAACCTCACTTCTCACAATGAGGGAACCTCCAGAAGGCCCTCGGCGCTGGATCTCAGTGTCCGGGCTGAACGATGGGGGTGGAGACGCTCCTTCAGGTATACAGGTATAATGAAGCTGAGTGTTGGAAGATTCAGGATAATAGATAATAGAAACCACTTTTTCATGCAGCAAATAGATGGTTCTTCAGATGTTGGTGGACTACAATTCCCATTGTTCCTGAGCATGTCCCCGGAGGTCCAACAACATCTGGAGGCCCACCCACCTGTCCTAGGTAAAAAGTAAAGCGTCTGATCACTTAAAAAAAAATTCCCAGGACAACAAACCTAGGTAGATTGCGTGCCTTAGATTTGTCCTGAATGCGGAGATGTGTTTGTTTACCTGCCTGGGTGCCTGTTCAGGGCTTGCGATCTGCATCTTGCCTATCTGGGAAGGGTACAAAGAAAGCCTTCAGCTTTTATTTGCCTTGGAAACATCTGCTAGGTGGAACTCCCCTACAGGCTTCCAGTACAGATTTTTACTGCAGCATCTGAAGGAAAGAGCCCATGGGCTATGCCCATTCCCGTTTTATATCTGTTTATTGGCCAGATCAAAGCACCGGCTTTCAGTAAGCTTTCTTCAAAGGACATTTATGTGCGGAAATGTCGCCCCTTCCCTCGCTTCTGCGACCCTCCTTTGAAAATTTTGAAACACGTGAGCTTCAGGTTAGACCATTCCAGGTAGCCGCAAAATGATGAACCCCAGTTGCAGCAAAGCTTTGGAATTTGCAGAGCTAGCAGCTTCAAGACCAGGCAAGGGTTACTGGGGGATATTTCAGGCAGCTGTAGAATGGCACTTCTTAGCCATTTTTTCCCTCCTTCCTTTTACAACCCACAGGTCTAGCCTCTTGATCCATTTTTTTCAAGTTCAAAGGATGGCTGAAACACGCTTTAATACAACGAAGGCTAACAATTCCCTACCCTGCCATTTTCAGTTTCTCAATTTGTGCAACAAGTTTTTGCAGAAGGATTTAAAAAAATAAATCAATCACACACCTTTCCCTTAAGTTAGCACAGACACAGTCATGGAGTAGCATTTCCCCCCACAAACACTAAAAATGTTGTTGCTGGGAAAATGTGTCTACATCACTACCAATATTGCTTCAATAATAATAATAATAATAATAATAATAATAATAATAATAATAATAATAATAATAATTTATTATTTATACCAAGCCCATTTGGCTGGGCTTCCCCAGCCACTCTGGGCGGCTTCCAACAAAATATTAAAATACAGTAATCCTTCAAACACTAAAAGCTTCCCTAAACAAGGCTGCCTTCAGGTGGTTGTTCTCTTTGACATCTGGTGGGAGGGCGTTCCACAGGGCAGGTGCCACTACCGAGAAGGCCCTCTGCCTGGTTCCCTGTAACTTGGCTTCTCGCAGCGAGGGAACCGCCAAAAGGCCCTCGGCGCTGGCCCTCAGTTTGCTATGATGTCTTCTTAGACCTGTGACGTCAGTAGTGAACAGTGAAACAACATTTTCCCATACCCACCATGATTTTGGTCATCTTTCAAACCTTTTTTTTTTAAAAAAAATACTTTTGTGCAATCTTATAGGAGGCAGAATCCTTCCATGTGCTACTCAAGCAACAGGGAGCGCTTGGGATATTCACACAAACATTAAAAAATGGCAAATGCTACCAGCTCCTTCTGCTTCCCATAGCGATGCCCCTCCTTTTTCTTGGACCTCATCAAATATAGCCTTTTGAATTTCGAAGCCTTGAGAAGCATTCGTAGAACCCTAATTTTAAGCTATAGCTGCTTTGCTTTCTGCTTTTGATCTTTGGGACACAAATTTGGTAAGGTTGGCAGCAAGGCCTCTCCTTACCTCCATCAGATAATACCTTGCTGGGAGTAAACACAGAATATTTTCCATTTCTGAAAATACTTTCCCCCCCTTTCTTTTTTCTTTTTTGTAATGCTAATTGCTAACCCAAGGATTAGCTATAATACCAGTCAAATTGGGCAGTTTCTAAGTTGTAATTAACTTATTTCTTCCCCCTAGGTGATTATCCCTAGGAAGCATGCATTTAAAATATTTATTTCAAAAATGTGTGTGCGCATGCACACAAAGACTTTCTTCTTTTTGAACAGTGTGTGTGTTTGGGTGTGTGAGCACGGTAAATTAAAACCAAAAGCACATATTCAAACCTGCTGAATTTGATCCCAGTTAATTTAGTATGTCCGGCAGGTGGAATCCAGTTTGAAATTTTCTGAAAAACCCATGTTATTAATTTTGAAATAATCTTGGGAAAATGGAGTTGTGGTTCACTGCTCAGGGTCATCTGAACAAGCTTTCGGATCCTTGTAAACATTTCCCGCATGTGTGAACTGAGGATTCTGGGAGGCCCTACTCTGATTTTGTGATCCGTAAAACGTAAGAGTCATTTACAGTCCAGCTATGGCGCCTTAGTCTTTATAGCTTAAGGCAATAAAGCTCCTGCTGTTAGGTCTGGCAAATCTCAGTTTTGGTGTCCAGGTGGTGCCCATCTCATAAGCACTTCAGGGCCTTGTTAAGGTATATATTTAACAATAAAACTCTTCTTTCCACATAAAATTATTCCATTCTGAATTTACAAGTTAGGATAGAATGCCTTTGTGTGGGTTTCACATTACAGCAATGTGCTCCACACCTAGACAGCTAGGTGGCGTGGATTGGAGAGGAGTTTAATGTTGACGCTCGTCCTTTCTTGAAGCTCCAGCTCTGTTTACATGTTCTAGATGGGCTCTTTCTTGCAAGACCACTTTCCTTGTGTAAATGCCATCGTTGGAGAGTATATTACCTAATCATGTGGGAAGCAGCATTATTTCAGGGCTAGAAGCATGCTCTTCCACCATATTTTGAAGGTCTAAAAACTTTTTGGTAACTTACTAGTGGAAAGCCGCTAGGAGTTCGCTTTTGTGTCATCGGGAGGAAAAGACTCATGCAGCTTACAGTCAGGCCATAGCAGTAGACTAGAGCCTGCCATTTTCGAAAGAGCTTCACAACTCAAACTTGAGAACAGCGTGTTGGGTGTGCATCAGACTTTTTGAGGGTTCTGGTCTTCTGCCTGTGGCAACAGCACACTCTTGCCCCGGATACATCTTAGAGAGCCAGTGTGGTGTAGTGGTTAAAAGTGGTGGACTCGTAATCTGGTGAACTGGGTTTGATTCCCCGCTCCTCCACATGCAGCTGCTGGGTGATCTTGGGCTAGTCACACTTCTTTGAAGTCTCTCAGTCCCACTCCCACTCACCTCACAGAGTGTTTGTTGTGGGGGAGGAAGGGAAAGGAGATAGTTAGCCGCTTGGAGATTCCTTCGGGTAATGATAAAGCGGGATATCAAATCCAAACTCTTCTTCTTCTACTACTTATTATAGAATTATAATAAGTGTCAATGGAATTTTTAATGAACTCCACAATCCCAAGAATTAGAAATTTAGTTGATCTTTTTCAGTGGCTGCTGGGATTCTTCCAACGCAGCCCAATACTTACTATAGACTTACTATAATTTAAGGATGCATATCGTTTTCCTCTATCTCCTCCCAAAAAACTTCCACGGCTTGAGGTCTTATCTTCTTCCTCCTTTGTTTTTTCCCCAGCTGTTGGGACTCAAGCTAAGATATCCTTCACGAAGGAGCCGTACTCCCAGGATGCTTTTCATGGCCGCAGCGCCATTTTGCGCTGCGAAGTGGAGGACCCAAGAGACACAGAGTTTGAGTGGCTGCAGAATGGCGTCCCCGTCCAGGACACCGAGCGCCGCTTCAAGGAAGGGAGCAGCCTTCAGTTCACATCTGTCGACCGGCATCAAGATGGCGGGAACTTCCAGTGTGTGGCCAGGAACGTAGTGACTGGAGAAGAAGCTCGGACCACAAATGCATCTTTTAACATAAAGTGTAAGCGCACCTTGGTTACAAACTGGGCTTGGTTGGTTGGTTTCGGCACCAGCATTATTGAATCCAAACTGGCACGAACAATTGATTGTATTTGAAATATGTATGTGCTACCTTTCAGAGAGAAGCCTTCCCAAAAGTGTTAAAAAATAACTATGGCAACAAACTAAAAGAGTAGCCTCCAAACTGCTTGTATACAAATATACAATCACTTTTTTAAAAAAATCAATAGTGGGAACCAAACCCGCCCCCCTCCAAAGGTTTTTCATACACACCAACTTTATATCTAGTCTAAACCAAGAAGTTGTTTTTGTGAGGTTGGTATGGATTTGTATATTTCAATAAACAGTCGTACCTTGGAAGCCAAACGCCTTGCAAGTCAAACGTTTTGACTCCCGAATGCCGCAAACCAGAGAGTGTTCTAGTTTGTGAACGTTTTTTGGAAGCTGAACGTCCAACGCAGTTTCTGCAGCTTCCAATTGAGTGCAGGAAGCTCCTGCAGCCAATCGGAAGCCGCGCCTTGGTTTTCAAACATTTTCGGAAGTCGAACTGACTTCTGGTACAGAGTGTGTTCGAGAACCAAGGTACGACTGTATTGTTATGTACCACATTAGGAACCTTTGGGCTGAAGAGTAGAAAAACAAATACAGTGGTACCTCGGGTTAATATTACCTCAGGTTAAGAACTTTGCTTCAGGATGAGAACAGAAATCATGCGGCAGCAGCAGGAGGCCCCATTAGCTAAAGTGGTGCTTCAGATTAAGAACAGTTTCAGGTTAAGAACGGACCTCCGGAATGAATTAAGTACTTAACCCGAGGTACCACTGTAGTATAATAGAGAATAAGAGTTGGTGGCTGAACGACCTAGAAAAACACCTCAGGCTACTTTCTAGAGAGAGCCTGCACAACAATTTGACATAACGTTGTAAGGCGCTTATTTTTTTTTACCCTGGGTTCCACATCACTGTTAGGTTATCGGGAATGTCCACTTTTGTGTGAACCGTTACTCAAAAAGCCAGAACCTTAAAATAGCCAATTTTGCGACACATAGAAATGCGTACCTTAAAACACGCACCTACTGTTCCTTTCACCCAGATTGCAGGCACGCTGGATACGCTCAGACTCTCTTTCCATGCGCACACACATATTCTCTCAATCACGCCGGTACAATAATGCGCTCAGCAGGCAGCAAAGAAAAGGGGCTTTGGAGAAACTGCTGTTCTCCCCTCCCGGTAGGCAAAAAACTGCAAGGAAAGTGTGCAGCTACTATCTTGGCCCGAAGCCTGGAGCCAAGCAGGTCTGTCTCTGATCAGAGGCTGCCTCTCAACCCTGTGCATGTTCTGCCATCAGCCCCACTGCGAAAAGGTGGGATGAAGATTAAATGCATAACCTTCCTGTGAGCTGCAGCTGCATATTTTTCCTTGAGGCAAGTGATTGTTCCAGAAAGCAGTTGCAGAGCTTTACTGCAACTCTTTACTGCTACTCTTACAGTAGCTTAGTCCCATTGGCCATCACCTAGGCTGAGTCAGCTCTTAGAGCCAGGCTGTACTGAAGCCTAGTACAAATGTCATTCTTGGTTCATAGTGAGGCCAACGCAAAAGGAGTCAGGAGGGATTTGCAAGGAGACAGATGTAAGCAATGGAGAGAATGTCTGGTTTAGCCTGCCGGTTCAGGTTTAGCACCTCAGGTGTAAATCCTCTGCCTGGCACATTTCAATGTTTGTGCCTCTCTCTCTCTCTCTCTCTCTCTCTCTCCATCCTGCCATGAATTCTGCCGCAGAGCCGCAGGAATGTGACATCCTCATTAGTGGCCCAGCTGTGCTCTTCAGTGTGATCAGATAACATATACAATAGCTCTCACCTGCTGCAATGTAATTGTAGAAAGACCACTCTGGATAGGGTTGCCATATTTCAAAAAGTAAAAAACCAGGACACCCTGAAAGTTGCTGAGCCAGTTGTTGAGCCAGGACAAAGCACCGCCTTTCAGAAACGCGTCCCCCCCCCCCCCGGATGTCAACTGCACTTTTGAAATCCCCTTAATTTCCAGGAAAATCCAGGTGTATGGCAGCTCTAACTTTGGAACAGTGTTAGAAACTCAAGATCTATAAGCCAGGCGACAAATGGTTCCTTAGACTTGGGTTACAGTCAACAAATTAGAATACCTAGTTGTCATTTTTTGAGCCAGCCGGCTCAAAAGTCGTATTTTTCAATACGATTATTTTGGTTCCTGAAATTCATTCTGACTGTGCAGATAAAATATAAAGGATAGAATTCTGCAGGATGTGTTGCCAGTGGGTGAAAACAGTCAAGATCCAAGGATCCCTAGGCATGTATCTCCAGATGGTGGAGACTTCAGGTGTCATCCTGGCAACCTGGGCGTCTTCACTGATAGACAGGTGAAAAATGCGCCTGGCAAATTTCAGGCGCTGCTTTGGAAACGTCCCAGGACTTTTGTGATGCACCAAAACAACAAGTACTACATATGACTGGAGCATTTGTAAATATAGGCATTTGACAAGAGAACCTACACTTCGCTCCATCTTCCAGTGTGATGTAGTCTCGTAATCTGGTGAACTGGGTTTGTGTCTCCGCTCCTCCACCTGCAGCTGCTGGGTGACCTTGGGCCAGTCACACTTCTCTGAAGTCTCTCAGCCCCACTCACCTCACAGAGTGTTTGTTGTGGGGGAGGAAGGAAAAGGAGATTGTTAGCCGCTTTGAGACTCTTTCGGGTAGTGATAAAGCGGGATATCAAATCCAAACTCCTCCTCCTCCTCCTCTTCTTCTTCTTCTTCTTCTTTCACCGTGGCAGGGCTGCTCCTTGAAATATCAATAACTTTTGACTAGAGGTAGGGAACCTGTGTCTCTCCGGGTGTTGGTTGGGACTCCGACTTCCACAAGCCCCAACCAGCAAGGCCAGTATCCAGAACTCATGGGAGTTGTAGTCCAGGAACACCTGGAGAGCTGCAGGGCCCCCACCCCTCTTTTTGACCCATATGTACCTAATTCTTCGACTAGGGGAATTTGCCAGCCACATAGAATGGAAGCCTTCCATATGGGAACCGAAATTTTCCACCTGCCGTTTTTGTTGAGTCTCAAACCATAGGTGCCACAACACTTCTGCTAGTTATTACCTGGCCTCCTGTTCTCAGTACCCCAGGGCTCGAGCAGGTGCTGAGCTGGCTGCACCATGAGAGCTCGCTACTTTTTGTATAGCTATCTCCAAGCACAAATTGAACAGAGGCTGTATCTTACTAGCTTTTTCACCTGAGGCTGCCACTCTAAGGCTTCCTAAAGTTTATGTGTTAATATAAAAGTACCTGATGCAATAATAATAATAATAATAATAATAATAATAATAATAATAATAATAATAATATACAGTGGTACCTCTGGATGTTAACGGGATCCGTTCCGGAGCCCTGTTCACATCCTGAAGCAAACGCAACCCGCATCTGCGCGTGTGCAGGTCACAATTCGCCGCTTCCGCGCATGCACATGACGTCATTTTGAGCGTCTGCGCATGCGTGAGCGGCGAAACCCGGAAATAACACATTCCGTTACTTCCGGGTCGCCATGGAGCGCAACCCGAAAATGCTCAACCCGAAGCATATTTACTGTATAGGCAGGACTGATAAATGGTTTGCATTGCCAATATACATCTCAGTGGGGGTTTTCCCCAGTGCAGAGCAAGTGCCATCATGCAAAGGTGAGAGCCGTCTTGCATTCCTGTAGTGACCCTTTGACACCTGGTGTCAGGTATACGGATGCTTCCATTTCCAAAGCACAGAGGCCTGAAAGTGACCTTTGTTTTGTTTTCTCTCCCCGCCCTCTTTTCATTAGGGATCGAAACAGGGGGAGTTGTTCTGAAGAACCCGGCCAGAGTGGAAGATATACAGAGTTCTGCTCCAGTAACGTTGCGATGCCATATCGATGGGCACCCTCGGTAAGGAGTCGCCAGTGTGAATGATCTTCTGCCGGCTACCTCTCCTGCATTCCCACCCCAGAAAAGACGCCCTTGGAAACTCCTTCCTCCATTAAACATTTCTTTAAAGAATTTGTTAATTGGTTTTTAAACAAATGCACTAGATATCAAACACTTATCCAGCAGTACTTGCAATGGTGTTTGTTTTATCCATGGTCTCTAGACATGCATGTACACATTCAACATTCAAATATATTACTTAAACGTGGCCTCTCTACTGAGAATATTGAGCGGTCGGGATAACAAGGTCCTGATTTGGGTCATTAACATAGTTAAAGAAAGGGGCCTTTGTTTATTGGAAAGTATCTCTATTCGTTATGCCTTTAAGTGCCCTCCTGCAATGTCTGAGGTGCTCAGACATGGCTGTATCCCAGATATTATCCTCCCATATATTCAGGGGTATTTCAGTCTGGTTCGTTCTTCAAGAAACTTTTAAGTGCTAAGAAGAGTTTAATAGAACACATCTGAATTCAGAGAGAAGGTAGATTTTCATCCCTCTTGCTGATGCCTGAATATGCTGTGGGAATTTGAAAATGATTCAGAGAGTTTTGATGATTTCCCTGTTGGCTGTAATCAAATTGCCTGTGTCTTCCCAGCCCGACGAGCCAGTGGTTCCGGGATGGGACCCAGATTGAAGACGACCGAACTAACTATTCTGTCAGCAACAAGGAACGGACGTTGACCCTCAAGAGCGCCAGTCCAGATGACAACGGGGTCTATTTCTGCTGTGCTCGGAACGCCATGGCCTCGGTGTGCAGCAGCAACAACTTCACTCTCAACATCATAGGCAAGTGGGTGTTTTTCTCATTGTGGGAAAGGTCTCGAGTGATGGCCTTTTGTTGGACACAGGGTAAGCCCAGGGATGTAGTTGCCCAAGGACTGCATCCAAGAGATAACCACAGGGGCCTGTGCAGACAGCTCTATAGAAGAATCTTGCATCACGGTGGTGGACCTGCTTGGATGTTGCGTTCTAAGCAGAGGTGTGCCTGCAGATATAAAAGCCCCCGTCCTCATTCTCTTGTGCCTCTTTCCCTTTATTTTATTTATTTATTTATTTATTTATTTATTTGCATCCTGCCCTCCCTAGCCGAAGTGGGGCTCAGAGCGGCTAACAATAAAAGTAACACAGCATTCTAAAATCAATTCATTCTAAAATCAATTCAAAATCAAATTAATGGCAACCGTTGGGCTAGAGTTCTGTGAGGATTACCAAAGGAAGGAAACTACAGTGGTACCTCGGGTTACAAATACCTCAGGTTACAAACACGTTGGATTACAGACTGCAAATCCGGAAATAGTACCTCCGGTTAAGAACTTTACCTCAGAATGAGAACAGAAATTGTGCACCGGTGGCACAGTGGCAATGGGAGCCTCCATTAGCTAAAGTGGTACCTCAGGTTAAGAACGGTTTCAGGTTAAGAACGGACCTCCAGAACAAATTAAGTTCATAACCAGAGGAACCACTGTATTGACCTGGAGGAAGGAACCCTGGGTAATTCAGGAGGGACACAGATAAGTGCTTCTTCAGACTGCACACAGTGTCATGGCCTGACAATGGAGTGGTGGGAGGCACCAGCTGGGAAGAAGGCTTAGAGACACAGAGACAGGGGATTGGTGGTGGAATGACGATGAGTGGTCAGAAGGAGGAGACCGGGGGGAGGAGATCAGAGAGGCTGCTGAAGAAGCCAGGGGGTCTCCCCCTCCTGCCGCGACCAGCTCCTCTCCCCGCTGGTCTTCTAGGACCAGAAGAGGTATGAAGAGGGTGGAGTAAAGACAGGCACAGCAACAGAGTCTCAGATTGATTGGCAAGGACCCGGGAAAAGAAGAGACTTAGGGAACTGTGGGAAGGCCAGGACCTTCAGTCCTCGCAACTGCCTCATTTGGGCAAGATCTGCCGGGAAGTGTTGCTGTGTTCACTGGGCCTGGGCTTCTGAGCTGCTTGTGTCTTTGAACAGAGAGTTCGCTGACACCGTGTGAGTTGTTACTGCTCCTGGCACCCACCCCTGACACCGGGCGGTTCACTGCCACAAGGTGTAATAGTGAAGCACAAGGCTGTCAGTGGCCGCTAGTCATGATGGCTAGATATTATTTCGGGGTCAGAGGCAGTATGTCTTTGGGTACTAGTTGCTGGGGCTCAAGAAGTGCTGTGCTTATTTCCTGGGCTTCCTCAAGGCATCTGATGGGCCATTGTGGACCAGATACAGATGGGCTCTAATAATAATAATAATAATAATAATAATTTTTATTTATACCCCGCCCTCTCCAGCCAAGGCCAGGCTCATGGCAGCTAGCAAGCAATAATAAAAACAAGTTGAATGAATACAACTTAAAAACAAGATTAAAATACAACATCAAAATATTGAAACATTAAAATATAAAATGCAGCCTCATCACAGGAGGAAAAAGAAAAAAGAAAGAGGGGGAGGGAATCAAATTGGCTCCAAACCAAAGGCCAGGCGGAACAACTCCATCTTACAGGCCCTGAGGAAAGAAATCAGATCCTGCAGGGCCCTGGTCTCATGAGGCAGAGCGTTCCACCAGGCCGGAGCCAGTGTTGAAAAGGCCCTGGCTCTGGTTGAAGCTAATCTAACTTCCTTAGGGCCCGGGACCACTAGGGTGGTGCTATTTATGGACCTTGAGGCTCTCCGTGGGGCATACTGGGAGAGGCGGTCCCGTAGGTACGAGGGTCCTAGGCCTAGGGTCTTATGCGATAAACCATCACTTTCTCATGTTCCCCTTTTCCTCATGCCAGATGAAAGCTTTCCCCGCCCCGTGATTGTTCCTGAGAACCAGATTGTCAATAGGAATGAGGAGGCCATGTTCCACTGCAAGTTCCAAGCTGTGCCACCTCCCACCCAGGAATGGCTATTCGAAGACGACACCCCTGTTTCCAATAAGTCCAGGTAAGCCGCCCCTTTAAGGACAGAAAACATTCTGGTGGGTGCTGCTCATGTGAAATATATATTTCCCATTTCCTCCCAGCGTAAGGGAAGCGGACATAGCTAAATCCTGGCAGGATGGCTTACTCTATGGTATCAATCCCTTCATACATTAATTAGGCTTAAGCACACAGGTCTGCTTTATTTTTCATTGGTATCCTTTTATTCAAGACACAACTGCAACTTATGTTAATAGAAAGCCCACCTGAAAACATGGTCAGCTATGGCTAGGTCTAAAGATGCACCGATCCTTCCCATTCACAATAATTATTATGTCTTATATGCTTTTTTATGATGAAACATTCATGATCCTGTATTCCTTCTGTGCTCTCTTCTGCTTTGGTAGCCTTGTGGTTTTGACTTATAATGTCTGTCATGATGGAAATTTCAGTACAGTGGTGCCTCGCAAGACGAAATTAATTCGTTCCGCAAGTCTCTTCGTCTTGCGAGTTTTTCGTCTTGCGATGCACGGTTTCCCATAGGAATGCATTGAAAATCAATTAATGCGTTCCTATGGAAACCGCCTTCAGACCAGGTCCGGGGACAGTCTGTCCCCCGACCTCTTCTGAAGGCTGGGGGGGGACAAGGGCTTTTCTTCCCACCCCCAGCATTTTAAAAAACCCCGGGACAGCGGAGGACTTCTCCGCTGTCCGGGGCGATCTTAAAATGCTGGCGGGCGGCATTTTAAAATCGCCCCGGGACAGCGGAGGACTTCTCCGCTGTCTGGGGCGATTTAAAAGCCCCTGGGAAGGCAGGCAGGGGGGACAAAGACTTTTGCCCCCCGCCAGCCTTCAGAAGAGGTCCTTTTTGAAGGCGGGCGGGGGCGAAAGTCTTTGCTCCCCCCCGCCTGCCTTCAAAAGCCGTCCGGGACAGCGGAGAAACGCGCTGCGTATCTCCGCTCTCCTGGGAAGGCAGGCAGGGGGGAACAAAGACTTTCGCCCCCGCCCGCCTTCAGAAGGTGTTTCCTCCCCGCCGCCCGGCTTCGGAGCATCGTTCCGAAGCCCAGCGGCGGGAGGAGGTGTTCCCGCCCCGCCGCCCGGCTTCGGAGCATCGTTCCGAAGCCCGGCGGCAGGGGGAGGTGTTCCCGCCCCGCCGCCCGGCTTCGGAGCATCGTTCCGAAGCCCGGCGGCGGGAGGAGGTGTTCCCTCCCCGCCGCCCGGCTTCGGAGCATCGTTCCGATGCCGGGCGGCGGGAGGAGGTGTTCCCTCCCCGCCGCCCGGCTTCGGAGGAGCCTTCCGAAGCCCGGCGGCGGGTGGAGGTGTTCCCGCCCCGCCGCCAGCCTTCGGAGGAGGTCCGAGGACAGTGGGGAAGACACGCTGCGCTTCCCCGCTGTCCCGGATATTTCCCTATGGGCTGTCGTCTTGCAAAGCAAGCCCATAGGGAAATTCGTTTTGCGAAGCGCCTCCAAAACGGAAAACCCTTTCGTCTAGCGGGTTTTCCGTCTTGCGAGGCGTTCGTCTTGCGGGGCACCACTGTATAAAATATTTATCTAAAAATAGGAGGCATGTTTTTGCACAGAGGCAAGCCTGCCTTTGCCTGTAAGCACCTCTTCTGCTGAAAGGTCATTGACGCCAGTCGTCTTCTCTCCCTGTTCCCAAAGGACGGTGCTGTTCTCCAACGGCTCTTTGCTGATACCTCAGGTGAAACCACGCAGTGCAGGAGTCTATAAATGTGTTGGTCGCGGACAGAGGGGGAAGGCTGTTGTTTTGGAAGCAACGCTGCAGCTGGCAGGTATGACGAGCACTTCCGAAAGATTTCTTGCTTACTGAATTCATTGTTACATTTCTGTTTGCCCAAAAGAGGGCTGGGTAGCAAAAACAAAACACGGTGTTAAAACAAAATGCAATTACAAATAAAATAAAAGCACATTTAAAACAGTCGAAAGCCTCTTAAAATAATTAAAAACATTTGAAGACATGCCCATAAGAATTCCACTGCTATTAATTTTAGTGTTGCCAGGGAGAGAGAGTATTTCATTTGTCAAATCCTGCCTGAGATTTAATAGTAATTTCTTTCTTTCTTTCTTTCTTTCTTTCTTTCTTTCTTTCTTTCTTTCTTTCTTTCTTTCTCTATTGCACTTTTAATAAAATGGTGTTTGGGGGAACAATGAGGGAATTCCACCAATGGAGAACTGCCTCGCCAAGAAGACCCTATTGTGGGTCAGCGCTAACCAGGCAACAACCTGACAGTGGCAACAGCAGTGGGGCTTCCCCTGCTGATAGCAGGGCCCAATATGGTTGATACCAGGAACCACACTATTTTTAGGGGTTATTAGGATATTCCCCTAGCTTCCAAGGCTTTGGTCTGAAGGGTCCGGTCCTTGACATAATTCTGGGTAGGGCAGAGCTGACTGAACTTGGCCTCCTGTACCCCTTTCCCCAAGACCTGAGTGGTCCACATGCGGCAATATAACACTGATTTCCCCCTCACCTCTAATCACTTACTTATCTGTCAGTGGGACGAGGTTCGGTTGAATCTGCTCTTTATTACATACATTGGAGCATTTTAGACCTTCCATACAATCATTTATACACTTCTCTATACGGTTCACTTTTTTGCAAGTCCCTTTGAGTTCACCTTCCTGAAAAATACAACTACAGTCGTACCTTGGAAGTCGAACAGAATCCGTTCCAGAAGTCCGTTTGACTTCCAAAATGTTCGAAAAACCGAAGCACGGCTTCTGATTGGATGCAGGAAGCTCCTGCAGCCAATCGGAAGCCCTGTCGGAAGTTTTGGCATCCAAAAGAACAGTTGAAAACTGGAACAGTCGCTTCCAGGTTTGCGACGTTCGAGAACTAGGCTGTTCGACTTCCAAGGTACGACTGTAATAGCGATTAAGAATATGGTCAGTTGCCGTAAAAGAAAAATTAACACAGAGATTACATGAACTGAATTACACAAATGATGTAGATGATTTTTGTGGAAATACGGTATCCTTTTATAAAAAAACTTTGCTGATAACCCTGAAGAACGGTAACCGCCAAAATCACGGATTGGACTTGAGCAAACTTAACTAGATTGATCCATCCTGGAGGCGGGGGGTAAGTTGAGATTCTGTTTTTGTATCTTCCATTTTTTTGAAATTAATAAAACATTATTATTATTATTATTATTATTACTACTACTACTACTACTACTCCCAAATATGAGGATACGTATTTGTGGGTGGTATGGTCCACCCCCAGCTCTCCCCAATCTGACACTGCTGCCTTCTAAGTTCAGCACCCGCATTTCTCCTCAGAAATTGAAGATTTCACCTACCTGTTTGGCCCAAAGACGTTCATCGCCAACAAAGAGCAGCGGGTGTCCTGCATAGCGCCTCGGGGAGTCCCAGAACCCCGTATCTGGTGGGAGAGAAACGGCGCCCCGCTCCCTGCGACTGGCAGGGTGCGCCAAGAAGCCGAGGACCTCGTCTTCACTAGCGTTGTAGAAAAGGACTCTGGAGTGTACACCTGTCATGCGGTGAACAAGGCTGGAGAGAAGAAGCAGAACCTGACCATCACAGTAGCTAGTAAGCAGACTCCTTTTGCAGATACTGAGAGCGCGGAAGGAGCACCGTGTGGGAGAGAGTCATGGGTGGTGTGGGATTGGGAGGAAAGGAAAGGGAGGGTCCAGTTCTGGTTCTGGGTTGAGAGTTTGGTGGACAAAAACCAGCTACTCCTTGGTTCTTGGGACTGGATTGGCCCTGCACTGGAGTTCAGGCATGAACTGTGGTTTCAGCGGTGGGGAAGCTCAGGTCTGGGGACTGAATATGGCCCTCCAGTCCTCTCTATATGGCCCTCAGCACTCTTCCCAGTCCCAGCTCCAGGCTCTTTCCCTCAATGGCTCTGCTCTGCTCCCTCCCCAGAGTTCTTTTTCCTGGCTGGAAACTGCCCTTGAACTGTGATCGAATCATAGAGTTCTATGAATTCATAGAATCATAGAGTTGGAAGGGACCATGATGTACGGAGAGGTGTATGTGCTGCTGGTGTGTGTGGAAACCTCAGGCTTTTGGTGTACCCAGGTGCAAGTAATAATCCGTCGCCTCACCCACTTTTACCTCAGGCCCCCTCCCACCACTGATGTGCGGCCCCTAGAAGGTTGCCCATGAGGGCATGTGGCCCTCTGGTTGGAAAAGGTTCCCCATCTCTTCCCTAGATCCTTTCAGCAGGTCAACGATGGCTTCCTTGCCACGGTCATTGAATTACTGCCACAACTCTTGGGCAAGTTATTCTGCCTCTTGTGCTTAAGATGGCATGGGATGATCTTACCATTTTTCCTGCTCTGGAGTCAGCTATGACGAGTGTTTGCTTTTCTCTCCTGCCTCCAGCTATGCCAAAATGGGTGGAGAAGCCCAAGGACAGCCAGCTAGAAGAGGGCAAGCCAGGATACCTCCACTGTCTCAGCAAAGCGTCTCTGAAGCCCACAGTCAGCTGGTTTCGCAATGCCATCCCCATTTCAGAGGTGAGCACGGAGGGGCTTTGTGGAACTGGCTCCTCAATTTTGCGGCTGTGTCTCCTTTATTGCTCTTTGATTACAGTTTAAGCAGTAAAAGGTAAAGTACCCCTGGACAGTTGAGTCCAAAGGCGACTATGGGGTTGCGGCGCTCATCTTGCTTTTCAGGCCAAGGGAGCCGGCGTTTGTCTGCAGACAGCTTTCATGGTCATGTGGCCAGCATGACTAAACTGCTTCTGCTGCAACAGAACACTGTGATGGAAGCCAGAGTGCACGGAAATGCTGTTTACCTTTCCTCCACAGCGGTACCTATTTATCTACTTGCACTGGCATGCTTTTGAACTGCTAGGTTGACAGAGCAACAGGAGCTCACCCGGTCACGGGGATTCGAACCACCAACCTTCTGATCAGCAAGCCGAAGAGGCTCAGTGGTTTAGACCACAGTGCCACCCACATCCCTACAAGTTTAAGCAGTGCATCCTCTCCCTGCCCCTACCCAGTTCTCTTTTACTGTTTCGGGGACAGGAGTAGAGGATTCTCAATTGTGCTGCAGAAGACGAACCTGATGAATCATGCAAGTGGCCCTATCCAAGTGGCCCCATCGGAGACCACTGGGTACAGGGCAGTATATAAATTCAATAAATAATAATAATCTAGTGCAGCTTTCTGGCTGACCAGCTTCATGCAGGAAGCCTGAAAACAGACATGAGCACAACAGCACTCTGCCCACCTGTGATTCCCAGCAGCTGGGTGTCAGAGATACTATGCCTGTGTCTAGGGATGTTTGTATGTGAGTATACATGCCGGTGGGGATGCGGGTGGTGCTGTGGGATAAACCACAGAGCCTAGGGCTTGCTGATCAGAAGGTCAGCGCGACAGGGTGAGCTCCCGTTGCTCGGTCCCAGCTCCTGCCCACCTAGCAGTTCGAAAGCACATCAAAGTGCAAGTAGATAAATAGGTACCACTCCGGCAGGAAGGTAAACGGCGTTTCTGTGTGCTGCTCTGGTTTGCCAGAAGTGGCTTAGTCATGCTGGCCACATGACCCGGAAGCTGTACGCCGGCTCCCTCGGCCAATAAAGCGAGATGAGTGCCGTAACCCCAGAGTCAGCCACGACTGGACCTAATGGTCAGGGGCCCCTTTACCCTTTACCTTTATACATGCCTGCATCCTGAATACAGTGTGTGTTTCAAGAAGGGGCACATCGGTGCCCTCAAGAGAGCCCCCCCCCCAATTACAGCACAACAAACCAACCCAATTAAACACGGCCATGTGGCCTCCGGCCAGAGCCGCCATTTTCCTTCTCTCTCTCTCTCTCTCTCTCTCTCTCTCTCTCTGTGTGTGTGTGTGTCTCTCTATCTCTCGCATGCTCATTTAAACCCTCGTTGTGTGGTCTTGCAATTCAACAGCTGACTGTGTCCCGTGGTTGTCTATATATGTGCGTATGTATGTATATCAGGTTCCAACTGGCTTAATCCTATTATGCAATTAAATCCTTTTCATAAAAAAAAGTACAACAAAAGGGAGACGGGCTCAAGCATCTGACACAGAACTAAAGAGGCTTTCATTTGCAGTATCCATTTTCAGTCCCCCCTTTCCCCTGCGAGATGCTTCTAGAAACAGGGCCCTGTTCTGGCTGTTGCAGACAAGAGCCAGCTAGAACCTCGTCGGTGGTGGAGACTTGACTGTGCCAGGTAGAAAAAGGGGGCACTTGAGGTTCTTTTGAATTCTGCCGTGGGGCTTTGGGGCTGGTGCCAGAGCCAGTTCTGCTGCCTACGAAACAGACTTTTCACTTTCCTAGTTACACCTTTTAAGAAACAGAATTTTTTAAAAATTGGGGGGGGACCTCTTCCAATTTTTATTTTGTGGTTCTTTGCTATTCTTTTCCGAGGAAAATCAGGGATGCCCTAACTTGCTGGCGATTTATTTATATCGTAAATTTATATCAAGTAAATGCTTGATTGTAAGGGGGGGCCTTAAAAACAGCTTACAGAAAAGAGAAAAGGGTGAAATTATCACAGAGAAATTGACAGCCGTGATTTCAAACGTACAGAAAGTTAAACCCGCAATGGAATGGACTAAAACAAATTAAAGCTCATGCACAATTTCTAAACGTCTGGGTAGGCTTGTCTGAATAAGAACAATAATTTGTAATAGTTTATGACTTGTACCCTACCCATCTGACTGCGTTGCCGCAGCCACTCTGAGTAGTTTGCAACAGAATGTGTAAAAAAAAAGAAAAAATGAGACATTGAGAACTTCCCAATAATTTATTATTGAATGTCATTAGCAGGCATCAAAAAGAATGCAGGGAAGGCGCTTGCCTGATATCAATAGACAGGGAGTTCCACAGTGTTGATGCTGCCACACTAAACAGTCCAGTTCTTACAGATGCGGTGCAGTATTATGTTGCGCCTGTAAAAGCGCCAATTCTGCCGATCAAAGTGAACCTTTGGGGCTCTGAAAAGGCATAAGGGTAAAAAATAAAGGTCCAGGTGTAGTCTCCGGCAGTGGAAACGGAAGAAGTAGCCTGCACAAAAACCACCCCCTGGAATTGTTTCTTTTGGCTTGGGGACCTTAAAAGGCCTTTGCACTCATCATATGTTGGCCATTTATTCACATCTGGCAGGATTCCCGCTTTGAAATTGCCGAGAATGGGACGCTGCGGATTAACAACGTGGAAGTGTACGACGGGACAGTGTTCAAGTGTGTGAGCAGCACACCAGCCGGGAGCATTGAGGAGCAGGCTCGGGTGCACGTCCTGGGTATGTGACTCCTGTTTTGGGGGGGGGGAACTCTTCTCGTTTTCTGTATGCATGTGCTACACGAAACAAACACATGTGCTCACAATTCAGCTGGGATTCCTTCATTGCTTTTCCCCCTCTTTTTATTAAGGATTTTCTTGTTTTACAGATGTATGTGTAATGTCTCTCGTATTTTTTCCATGTAACATTTTTACAAATCCGTTTCATTTGTTGAGACATTAGGGGAAGAAGAAAAAAGGGGGTGGAGGGGGGGGAGATAGGTGGGGGTGGTGTCGGGTGGCAATGTTTCTATTATGCTTAATGTATGTAGGGTTTGGTGTCAGCGTCGCTTGTGCAGGTTCTTTGCTGTTCACTTGTGTTCCTTTGGTGGTGAGAGAGGTTGGGGTTGGCTTAGGGTGTGGTTGTTTGTTTGTGATTGGCTGTGGTGATCTTTGTTTTCTTGTGTGAGTGGGGTGGGTGGGTGTTTTGAATCAGGTGGATTCCTTCATTGCTAAATGACCCCTGGGAATCCCTTCCGACTATGAATCAATCGCGTCTCCTGCTCCTGACGATGCCTTGAGAATTGGAGCCTTTTCAGGGCCTCGCTTGGCCTTGCCTGAGTCTGTGCCGCCCACAAGCGCTAAACTGTCTTGTAAGGAGACCTAAGGATTCATTGTTTTGTGTTTGATTACTGTGCTCATGTCTCCTTACCCGGGCATTTTAATTTCAGAGAAGCTGAAGTTCACCCCTACCCCTCAGCCTCAGCAGTGTGTCGAGTTTGATAAAGAGGTCACCGTCTCTTGCTCAGCCACAGGCCGGGAAAAGCCTGCAATCCAGTGGATTAAAAGCGGTGAGGAGGAAATGTTCAGACTGTGCAATGGACTTTGTATCTTTCTTTTTTTTTAATGATATTTATTGAAAGTTTAAGATTACAGAAAAAAGTAAGAAAAAGAGAGAAGAAGAAAAAATTAAACAATACAAATCAATACATATAAAAAAGAACAAAGCACACCATACATCAAAACTAAAACAAAAACAAAAAAATTAAAAACACATCCAATATTTCCATATCTTTATCTTTCATTAACTTGTTTCATCGGCCTCCTCACACCTCCCTTTTTTTGTATTCTAGTTATTAATTATTTCAGCAAATCCTTTCCATCTTTCACTATTTTCTGTCATTTAATTGTCTTAATTTATTTTAACCTTATCTTACCATAAAAAACCCTAAAACTGATTTGTACATAACTCCTTATAACATTTCTACTAAAGCCGTATAGTTTCATTCCAACATTTTTCTAACACTCATTAATTTTACAATATTTCTCTAAATAAATTTTTAAACTTTCTTCCAATCTTCATCCACCGTCTCTTCTCCCTGGTCTCGGGTTCTGTCAGTCCTTTCTATCCATTCCATATAGTCCATCAATCTGGTGATCTTCTGTCCGAGGCTCTTAACTCTTTTCCATGTCCCTTCTGCAGATCTTCTTCATATTTATACCTGCACTTTACTTTGTCTTCTGCTGGGCTTTGTATCAACAGGCCTTACTGCAACAAAAAAAAAAAAGTGTCTCTGAGTGTTTGCCTTTTGCTTTGCGGAGAAGCGCAGGAGATTTGCATTGGGTTTCTAAAATGTTCATTGTCCTTTGTTGACAATAGTTTCCCATCTCCGCAAAGCTAATCCTTCGCCAGGACATGGTAGGTCCTAGTCAGCTGCTTGCGATCTGCTTCTGAATTATCTCTCTACTCCTCTACCCAGACGGGAGCAGCCTGCCAGCCCGGGTCAGTCAGAATGCTGGAAACATGAGCTTTCGTAAAGTGACGAGGAGCGACGCCGGAAAATATACTTGCATTGCTTCCAACGGCCCTCAGGGAGAGATCAGAGCGACCGTCCAGCTCACAGTGGCAGGTAAGCATTGGGTAGAAGAGGGTTGTGTTTTTAAGCAGTGCTTAAAATAGGTCCGAGATCCGCCAGCCTGATTTTCTGAGGAGGCCTGTGGGGTGGTTAGTAGTCACTCTTGGTAAAATGTTGACATTTGGGTCAACACCACCAAAGAGGTGGGTTCCTGTTCATGGCTCTAGACACACTGCCCACCTCATAGCTCAGTCAGTAGAGCATCAAACTCTTGATCTCGGGGTTGTGGGTTCGAGCCCCACATTGGGGTAAAGATTCCTTCATTGCAGGGCTTGGCATAGAGGACCCTTGTGGTCCCTTCCAACTCTACAATTCTGTGCTTCTGTGAGCCTTGTAATGCTGTTTTGTGTGTGTGTGTGTGTGTGCGTGAGAGAGAGAGAGAGAGAGAGACAGACAGACAGACAGACAGACAGACAGACAGACAGACACAGACTAAGGCTGGGCAATACAGTGGTACCTCAGGTTACGTATGCTTCAGGTTATATACGCTTCAGGTTACAGACTCCGCTAACCCAGAAATAGTACTTCAGGTTAAGAAATTTGCTTCAGGATGAGAACAGAAATTGTGCTCCAGCGGCCTAGCAGCAGCAGGAGGCCCCTTTAGCTAAAGTGGTGCTTCAGGTTAAGAACAGTTTCAGGTTAAGAATGGACCTCCGGAACGAATTAAGTACTTAACCTTAGGTACCACTGTATTTGGTTTTCAACATTTTGATATATCACCAGCTAGATATTGCGATGTACTGATATATCGTAATATCTGAAATAAGGAGGGAACTATGTGGAGGCATTGGGTGGTGTCACAGTTTTTTTTTAATGATTTTCAATTTTATACATTTCAATAATTTTGCTACCATTTTAACATTGCAAAACTCGACTTCCTACCCCCTCTTTTTGCGGTTCCTTAAATTTATTTTTTTATATTTTCTCCATATTCCATATTAACTTAATTTAATCATTTATTCCATCTACTTTAAATGTATACTCTTATAAAACTGCAGGTTATTACAATACAGTCGTACCTCGGAAGCCAAACAGAATCCGTTCCGGAAGTCCGTTTGACTTCCGAAATGTTCAGAAACCAAAGCGTGGCTTCTGATTGGCTGCAGGAGCTTCCAATCAGTTGGAAGCTGTAGAAGCCCCGTCGGACATTCGGCTTCCAAAAGAAAGTTCAAAAACCAGAACAATCACTTTTAGTTTTTGGGAGCCGGAATGTTTGACTCCCAAGGCATTCGGGAGCCGAGGTACGACTGTAGTCCTGCCAATGTTCTTATCTGTTTACAGTTTCTTTGTGAATATTCAATAAACGAATTCCATTTTTTATGAAAAGTTTTGTAAAAGGTTTTATAGCTTTTTATAAAAAGTTATCTTGATTTCTTTTTTTTTTCTGGTAAGTTTCGCCATCTCTGCGTATTACATATGTTTTTGTAGCCGTTCTTTCGTCAGGACTTCTTTCCATTTTTGGACCGCTGTAGTAGGGCTGGGTGATTTTTGCCGCTCTAGAAGGGCTGGGTGATATATCATCCCAAACTGGTTTGAAGTCCATATCATGATGTCGGTTTCATAATTTTTGACCTGGCAATATATCGCGAATCATAGCGCACGCATGCGCAACCCCCCCCCAATAGCACAGCCTTTTTCAACAACTGGGAAAGCAGTATGTTGTTGTTGTTTAGTCGTTTAGTCGTGTCCAACTCTTCGTGACCCCATGGACCAGAGCACCCCAGGCACTTCTGTCTTCCACTGTCTCCCGCAGTTTGGTCAGACTCATGTTTGTAGCTTCGACAACACTGTCCAACCATCTCGTCCTCTGTCGTCGCCTTCTCCTTGTGCCCTCCATCTTTCCCAACATCAGGGTCTTTTCCAGGGAGTCTTCTCTTCTCATGAGGTGGCCAAAGTATTGGAGCCTCAGCTTCAGGATCTGTCCTTCCAGTGAGCACTCAGGGCTGATTTCCTTCAGAATGGATGCGTTTGATCTTCTTGCAGTCCATGGAACTCTCAAGAGTCTCCTCCAGCACCATAATTTAAAAGCATCAATTCTTCGGCGATCAGCCTTCTTTATGGTCCAGGGAAAGCAGTATATAGACGTTTAAATAAGTGGCTTAGTCATCAGTGGTATACTGAGACTTCTGGGGAGAGTGGCTCTCAGAATTGATGGTTGCCATCCATATCGATTTCCAACATGCTCCCAAACGTAATGTCTGCACCTGGGTGCAGCTGTCTTTCAGTCCTGCCTTTTCTTCTGGGAAAGAAAAAAGTGGCGAACCCTAATGTACCAAAACTCGTACAATGATATGAAAAACAGCCACCAAACAATGAAGTTTCTTCCTTATTTTTAGTTTTCATAAGCTTTAAGCTGAAGCCAGAAGACACAACCGTCTACCCGGGACACACAGCCATGTTCCAGTGCCAAGCGGAAGGCGACCCGGCGCCACAAATCCAGTGGAAAGGGAAGGACAGGATTCTGGAAGTCGACAAATTCGGGCCCAGGTAATGGTCTGTCCCCTCCAAAAAAATCTCAATACCTCTGTTGGGGAAAGGCCTCCTTTCACCCACTAAGTTGCACCCCCAGTGCTTCTGTCCTGCTCACACAACAGACTTCCACTTGGATGAAGGAACTTCTCCCTTCTGAAGCGCCCCAAGATCTGCTGCAGAGGCTTTTCTTTTGGGGGGCACATGGGGAGAGGAGAATGCAGGGGAGTCCTGGTGCTTAGCGTTGGATTCAACCCAATGGATGTCCAAGTTATTCGTGTCTGTTGATTTCACCGAGTCTGCTCTTTCTTTATATCCTGCCTTTATCCCAAGAAGCTGTAGGTGGTGACCATACGTCTCCCCATTATATCCTCACAACAGCAACAACCTTGCGAGGTAGGTTAGGCTTGAGAATTAAGGGACTGGCCCAGGATCACCCAGCAAACTTCATGCCCGAGTAGGGATTTGAACTCTGGTCTCCAAGGTCTTGGTCCAGGCCTCTAACCGCTGCACCACCCTGGCTGCAGAGTATGATTTAGTTGTATACAGCCCTTAACTTGTTCCTCCATCGCCTCCTGCAACGAGCCTCTTGCATTCACCCGTTGCTTTATAGCAGGGCCTTGTCGACTTGAATTTCAAGTTCTGCAGGTAAAAAGAAGCATTTTTGCAGTAGCTGCAGCTTAGTTGACCCAACCGTGTTGCCGTACTAAACCGCATTAGAAGCCTATGTCTTGACGGTTCACCAAGTCTCTTGCCTGCTGTGTTTTTACGGAGAGGGAGGCTCTCTTCTCCAAGACAGGGGTCACCTCCAGGCCTCTTGAGTCCTCTGGCTGCACTTCTCCACAACCTTCTCCTTTTGTATATATGTGCGTGGGAAGAGCATGGCACTCCCTAGCCCATGGCGCAGCTCTCTCCGGTTCCCGCACAGCCGGAGCGAACACAATAGGCAGGCAATTAAGGGATCATCCCTTTTGCTCTGAAGGGCATGCGGCAAGAACCAGCATTTAGGGTTGATTAAAAAGCCAGGCAGACGCTTAACAAGAGCGTGCCTCAAAGCAGTACAGCACTGTTGCAGTGGAAGGTAGGTGGAAGCACCCAGAGTGGAAGCACACTCCTGCTCAAAAGGATCGCTGGTAGCAGAGTGAGGAAAGGCTTTGGCTTAAAGCTTTGTAGGGTAGGAGGTGAAGGTCAGGGTGCACCAGTGGACTTGATCTGATGGAAACCCCGGGCTCAAATTTGGCCTGTGTCACTCCCCAGGCTACATTCCCCCCCAACCAGTGATATCCCTCCATTGGCTCTTCTTTGCAGCCTCCTTGGGTGGGCAACGCCTGGGATAGCTCAGTTGGTAGAGCACAGGATTCTTAATCTCGGGGTTGTGGGTTCGAGCCCCGTGTTGGGCAAAAGATTCTTGTATTGCAGGGGGATGAACTCAGTCACCCTTGGGTTCCCTTCCAACTCTACAATCCTATGATTGTATGTCTTTAGGCGCCTGGTGAGAACATTCTTCTTTACCCAGGCCTTTGCAATATGAGTGGACTGTCATTATGATTTTCTTCTCTGATATTATTATTATTATTATTCAATTATGTTTTTGATGTTATGACTGCCCTGGGATCTTCAGGAAAAGGGCAGTATATAAACCAAATAACAGTCGTACCTTGGAAGTCGAACGGAATCTGTTCCGGAAGTCCGTTTGACTTCCAAAACTTTTGGAAACCAATACACGGCTTCTGATTGGCTGCAGGAGTTTCCTGCAGCCAATCAGAAGCCTCGTCGGATGTTCGGCTTCCAAAAATAGTTCGCAAACCGGAACAGTCACTTCCCGGTTTGCGGCATTCAGGAGCCAAAACATTCAAGAACTAAGCTGTTCAAAAATCAATGTACAACTGTATTATTATTATTATTATTATTATTATTATTATTATTGCTACTATAACAACAACAAGAACACGTAGTAATGTTAGTACAGTGATACCTCGGGTTACATGCGCTTCAGGTTACAGACTCCGCTAACCCAGAAATAGTACCTCAGGTTAAGAACTTTGCTTCAGGATGAGAACAGAAATCGTGCTCCAACGGTGTGGCGGCAGCAGGAGGCCCCATTAGCTAAAGTGGTGCTTCAGGTTAAGAACAGTTTCAGGTTAAGAACGGACCGCCAGAACTAATTAAGTACTTAACCTGAGGTACCACTGTAGTAGATGGTTGGCTTTGGGTTCACTAGAGCTGCTTCCCCAAAGATGCCATTCTGTGGTCCAGGTGTATTCTGTTTGCACAGAACCATACTCTGGAGCTACCTAGGGCGGTTTTGCTTACTGCCCCCCCCCTCTCTTCCGCTTCCTTTTGCAGGGTCCAAATTATGTCTAACAACTCTCTGGTAATCTATGACGTCACCAGTGAGGATTCCGGCAAGTACACGTGCATCGCCGGAAACAGCTGCAACATCAAGCACCACGAAGCTTTCCTGCACGTCGTGGGTAAGGGAGGTTCGCATAATATGCCCTCTCAGCCACTGCACTCTGCAGAACTGGCACTGTTAAAGGCACGCCACATACTACTCATTGCACTTTTGTAAGAAATCAATCTTATAGTGCCTGTCGACCTTGGGAAGATCCTTTCACTGTAATCTTCTCTGCGGCTGCTAAAAACATTTTTCTTTAGGCAAGCCTACCCATTTATATATATGTGTGGAATGTTGACATAAGCTTTAAATGTCTATGCCTAATAAGGGATCTTGATTGATTGACATAGGCTTTAATATGGTTTTTAAAAAAATTCATTGATTTCAGTTATTTTTGTTTTGTTTTATTAATTTTCACAAAATTATAAACAAACAAAACACACAAACAAACAAACAAACAAACATAAATCTTAACCTTATTGAACATTGTTATTAACATTCTTAAGCGACTTCTTCGCTTCCCCTTGGTTGAATTTCCATGCATATCCTTACAACGGCTTTCCAAATCCTAATTCTTATAAACCTCACTTAGTTCATTAACATCCTTATATCTTTTCAATTCAAAATTGTACATGTTAAACATCACTTAACTTATATAAATTCCTAAGTCCATGATTTCAGTTATTTTTGAATGTTTTAGAAGCTTTTTAAGAAATCCGTGTTATTGTTTTATTCTCTTTGCAAACTGCTCTGAGGGTTGTTTTTTTTTTAAAGTACAGACAAGCAACATACAAATTTTATGAAATAAGTGTCCAATTCAGAGTGTTCAGGCAAATGTATTTGGGGTGCGAGAAAGTGACTCTGTTTTTTGGCAAGACATATTCTTCATACTTGTGGTTGAAAAGGAGGAGAAGGGCAGAATATTATCGTGTCTGCATACTATGACACTTAACAGCATCACTAGGTGGTACCCACCGTTGGACACAAAATACCCTACGCAGACTGGTTCTAACAACATCTGAAAAGAACCATTCAGCCTACTCAAGAGGCAGCACATGCTGGCACAGCTGTCCTGAGTAAGGTTGTCGGGCTAATTCTGTACATTGCAAAGAAAAGCTAAGAGCATGCTTGGTTGCGGTATGTACTGTGGCATGTGGTGACCAGATGTGGCCGCTGTGATGTGGAAGCAGCATCGCAGGCCTCTGTTTCATGTCATGCCCTCCTTCTTGCTTCCAGACAAACCGGTGACAGAAAGGGAGGGTGCACCAAGCAGCCACACTCCCTACAAGATGATCCAGACCATCGGGCTGTCCGTTGGAGCTGCGGTGGCATACATCATCATTGTCCTGGGCCTCATGTTTTACTGCAAGAAGAGGAGGAAGGCGAACAGGCTGAAGAAGCAGCCGGAGGGGGAGGAGCCAGAGATGGAGTGCTTGAACGGTAAGATGTTGGAACTTGAATCCCGGCCAGGAATGGGGAAACCTGCGTTCAGCTTAGGCTTCCTGGTTCAGAAGATGAATGAATTATTCGCCTTCATTGTGGACAGATGCTTGGGCCTGCAATGGTTCCTTTTCAGGAAGGTAGCCTGAAGAACTGTCCAAGTTGATATATAATTATTATTATTATTATTATTATTATTTATTTATTTATTTATTTATTTATTTATTTATTTATTTATTTATACATACCCGCCCATCTGGCTGAGTTTCCCCAGCCACTCTGGGCGGCTCCCAATCAAGTGTTAAAAACAATACAGCATTAAATATTAAAAACTTCCCTGAACAGGGCTGCCTTCAGATGTCTTTTAAAAATAAGATAGCTGCTTATTTCCTTGACATCTGGATGGGAGGGCGTTCCACAGGGCGGGTGCCACTGCCGAGAAGGCCCTCTGTCTGGTTCCCTGTAACCTCACTTCTCGCAATGAGGGAACCACCAGAAGGCCCTCGGAGCTGGACCTCAGTGTCCGGATTGAATGATGAGGGTGGAGATGCTCCTTCAGGTATACTGGGTCGAGGCCGTTTAGGGCTTTAAAGGTCAGCACCAATTCTTTGAATTGTGCTTGGAAACGTACTGGGAGCCAATGCAGATCTCCCAGGACCGGTGTTATGTGATCCCAGCGGCCACTCCCAGTCACCAGTCTAGCTGCCACATTCTGCATTAATTGCAGTTTCCGAGTCACCTTCAAAGGTAGCCCCACGTAGATCGCATTGCAGTAGTCCAAGCGGGAGATAACTAGAGCATGCACCACTCTGGTGAGACAGTCCGCGGGCAGGTAGGGTCTCAGCCTGCGTACCAGGTGGAGCTGGTATCACACTGTGACAGAACCTTCCCTCACTTGCGATGGTCCAAAGGATGTTGGCCACCACAATTCCCCGCCAGCGCCAGCCAGCAGTTGGAGATTATGGAAGTTTTAGTGCAAAACACCTGGAGGACAGACAACTGGGGAGGCCAGTCTAGGGATTATAGACAAAGACTAACATAATCTCCGCCTGCCAACCTAGCAGTTCGAAAGCACTCCCGGGTGCAAGTAGATAAATAGGGACCGCTTACTAGCGGGAAGGTAAACGGCATTTCCGTGTGCGGCTCTGGCTCGCCAGAGCAGCGATGTCACGCTGGCCACGTGACCCGGAAGTGTCTCCGGACAGCGCTGGCCCCCGGCCTCTTGAGTGAGATGGGCGCACAACCCTAGAGTCTGTCAAGACTGGCCCGTACGGGCAGGGGTACCTTTACCTTTACCTTTAACATAATCTCCAGGAGTTCTTGAAAGATCTCAGATGTGGCATTGCTCACCTCCTAACTTAATCTATAACTTGTACTCAAAATCTGCCTGGAAAGTAGATAACACTACTTGTTGTTGGCTTTGTTTTTTAATGGGGATCTGGGAAATTACAGGCAGTCAACTTAGCATCTGTCCCGGGTACCATGTATTGGGAGAAAGTGGTATTAAAGATGGAATGATACAGAATATAGAAGTCTTTCTGAAGAAGTATTGGGTCCTGCAAAGCTGGTTCAGAGTTCTTTGAGAGTGTCAACAAGCGTGTGGGTAGAGGTGATCTGGTCGCACATTCGGGCTTTCAAAATGCTCCTCACTGAAGGCTCCTAAGTAAACTTATGGGATAAAAGGGCAGGGTCTCTTAGGGATGAATAACTTACTAAAGAAACTAAGAATAAGAATAAACTGACAGTCCCACAATCGAGGGGGGCTTGATGGGTGCTTCTTACCTTGTTAATAAGTTATTTGGAGACAGGGATGGGCAGTGAGGAGGTGACCAGGTTTGCAGATGGTATTCTGTCGCTTTTGTGGAAAGAAACTTAGCAAAACACTTTTAAAAGATTGGAAGGAACTTCTATAAATTTGCTTTATTTAGAGAGTGCATGATTTTAAATTACTTTGGTGCCAATTTTAGTGGGGTTTTGTAACTTTCCTTCCCAACGCTGATAATAACCTGCAGGAAATAATGTAGCTGTGCAGGGAGGGGAATGCCTGCCTCTTTCTAAATTGCTGTCTCCTGCCTTTTGAGATGCTTACCTTTCTGTGCAAGGCAAACTTCATCTGCCGGGCTCCTCTTGAGAATGCAGGAGCTGCCCAGAATACTCTTATTAATCCGTCACTGCCGACAGCGGGACCTGCCTGCTGCTTTGACTGCTGAGGGGCTGTGATGAGTTCTGATCTCGACTACTGGAGGGTTATGAAATAACCATGAGGGGTATCCAGCAGGAGCCTCGAGTGATAGGCCAAACAGCAAGAGGGGCTAATCAAATTGCAGGAGCTGGAAGGCAGCCAGTTCTGTGCATTTAGCAGGCCCCTCTGAATTCTGTGGCAGCATCGCCCTCTAGCGACCAAGGCAAAATGGACTGTTCTGCCTTGAAATAGATCCCAAATTCTAGAAGGGTGGTTGCATTGGGTCCTTGCTACAAAAACAAAGTTTTTTAAGAGTGTGTGTGACACAGATAATGATCTGTCTTGTGGAATGGGTTTGATAATAATAATGATGATGATGATGATGATGATGATAATAAATTTTATTTATATCCCGCCCTCCCCAGCGGAAGCCGGGCTCAGGGCGGCTAACAACACACCTGCCCAAGTGGAACAACACACCTGCCCAAGTCCCTTGCACAGTGCTATTATTATTATTATTATTATTATTATTATTATTATTATTATTAATACCCTGCCCATCTGGCTAGGTTCCCCCAGCCACTCTGGGCAGCTCCTAACAGAATATCAATAATAACAGTAAAAACATCAAACTTTAAAAACTTCCCTAAACAGGGCTGCCTTCAGATGTCTTCTAAAGTCAGATAGTTATTTATTTCCTTGACATCTGATGGGAGGGCGTTCCACATGGCGGGTGCCACCACCAAGAAGGCCCTCTGCCTGGTTCCTTGTAGCTTCACTTCTCGCAGTGAGGGAACCGCCAGAAGGCCCTCGTGCGGGACCTCAGTGAATGATGGGGGTGGAGACGCTCCTTCAGGTCTACTGGGCCAACATCTAAAGGTCAGCACTTTAGATGTCGGGTGCTTGGGAAACACATTTTGCAATGCTTGGCAAAGCTGCTTTCTGCAGGGATTAGCTGCATGACTTGAGTTTCCCCGTGGGGAACTCGGTTGCACAGCTACATCCCTGCTGCCTTACATCTGATGTCACCTAAGACATCAGGTGTGGGACAGGTTGGGGGTGCTTTAAGGGCTAAATAGGGACCCAAGCCAGGGCCAGATTTGGCTTGCAGGCTGAAGGTTCCTCACCCCTGCCCTTGGGAAGCCAGGGAGGAGTTCTTGCCTTCTCGTTCCCCTCTGCATTCACCCCACAGTGTTTCAGCTGCTCAGAGCTCTTCGGTTGCAATTAGCAGCCGCACAGCAGAACAGCGACTGGCCTCCTTTTATGGGGCTGCTGGGAACTGGGCTCCCCTAAAATGCACCTTGCATGCACTTTGCAATCAATGCTTTTGTTTCCGGAGGCTCGTTATCATGGAGTTCGCGATCCCCAGGAAGCATTCCAATTCTTAGAAGCGGTCCTTTTTGACAAACCCGTTTCTCTTTCCAGGGGGCACTCTGCTGCAGAATGGCCAGACCACCGCTGAGATTCAGGAAGAAGTGGCCCTGACCAATCTTGGCAGCGGCTCTGCGGTCAGCAAGAGGCACAGCGCCAGCGACAAGATGCACTTTCCCCGCACTAACTTGCAGACAATCACTACCTTAGGTAATGCTGCATAGCAACAATGTTAGTTTCTGTTTGCCCCTGTGCAGTGCTTTGGAGTCACAAGACTCTGTTTTGCATTCCACACATTCCAGGCTGTTGGAAGTCAGACAGGAGATGGATGTGACGTTACTGGTTTCCTGTTTCCTTTGTTGTTCAGTTGCTCTCTGCTTTCACAGAGAGAGGGTGTGTTTCTTTTCTGTCTGCGTAGCTTAGTAATAAAACCTAGCAATGTAGCCCAAACTTCTCATCTCTTCCCTGTGCTGGAAACTCTGCTGAATGGGGGGTGTGCCAGGAGCCTTATCAGAGGCTCAGGTCGTTACTTATCGTCGGAGGGCGATTCCGGAAGAGTCACTCTGTCGAACGCAGATTCCGACAAACAATCCTGCTTTGAATTTGATTGCTGGTGACCTCAACCTTTCCCCCCTAGAGTTTGACCACTCAACATTTGCTTTCCGTCACTTAACTAACACCGCATGCTATAGCTGTAAAGTATCATGTAGCTATTTGGGACCATGGGTAAATAGGTCAGCAGTATTCCGTGCAGGACATATGAAGGTCTTGTGCAGTACGTTGTGTTGGTTTATCTCCCCGCTTGCCATGAGAATAGCAGCAAAGGTTGTCCTCTTCTTTCAGGGAAGGGCGAGTTCGGAGAGGTCTTCCTGGCCAAGGCAAAAGGCATTGAGGACAACGAAACCGAAGTGCTTGTTTTGGTCAAGAGCCTTCAAACGAGGGATGAGCAGCTGCAGCTGGACTTCAGGCGAGAGTTTGAGATGTTTGGCAAGCTGAACCACAGCAATGTGGTGCGGTTGCTGGGCCTTTGCCGGGAAGCTGAGCCTCACTATATGGTTCTGGAATATGTGGATCTGGTAAGAAGCCCTCTGGGACTGTCAAATCTCTGTAGGGGCTTTATGGCAGGCAATCTGGCCTTGAAATCGGGCCAACATCTCTCCCCTGCCAAAGGCGTTTTACTGAGGCCCAACATGGTGTGGTGGCTATAAGGCCTTAGGAGACCAGGGTTCAAATGCCCGTACAGCCACGAAGCTGGTTGGGTGATGTGGAGCCACTCACAGTCTCTTTTAAGTCCAATCTGCCTTGCAGGAGGTGAACCACGTACAACGCCTTGATTTCCTTTGTGGTATAATTGAAAATTCAGGGACGCGGGTGGCGCTGTGGGTTAAACCACAGAGCCTAGGACTTGCCGATCAGAAGGTCGGCGGTTTGAATCCCCGCAACGGGGTGAGCTCCTGTTGCTCGGTCCCTGCTCCTGCCAACCTAGCAGTTCGAAAGCACGTTCGAAAGCACGTCAAAGCTCAAGTAGATAAATACTCCGGTGGGAAGGTAAACGGTGTTTCCGTGCGCTGCTCTGGTTCGCCAGAAGCGGCTTAGTCACGCTGGCCACATGACCCGGAAGCTATACATCGGCTCCCTCGGCCAATAAAGCGAGATGAGCGCCGCAACCCCAGAATCGACCACGAATGGACCTAACGGTCAGGGGTCCCTTTACCTTTATAATTGAAATAAATAGATTATACTTTGACTGATGCTAAAAGGCCCATTGACTAGGGGAATTGCCACAATGAAAACAGTGGGATGCTCCTAGGGTACCGCTGACAATTGAAGGTCTTGGGTAAAGCAGGATATGTCTGCTTGTTAGACATCTCTTCGAGAGGCAGATAAACATTGGGTGGCCCTTAACTGCTTTCTAGTTTGGGAGCAAATGCCAGCAGCTTATGTAGAAACGCCAGCCGCTTGTATTGGAGGTGACTGCATAGATTTCAGTCTCCGAAATGGATGGAGTGACAAGGGAGTCTGGATTCTATACAGGGCTAATATTACTTTGTAAGTGAAGGGAATGTATATATAATCATTCACCCACTTCTAAAAGTTTCCTGAAGCAGAAGGTGATAGCAGTGAGATAAATGAATGCAAAGCAAATGAGATGAGGAGGAGGAATACCATGACGTTAATGGAAGATAATATTTGGGTTTGTAGGGGGTATTCCAGATTATATATGAATGTAGAAACATGGGACACTATTTTATCCCGAGCCCAGACCATTGATCCATCTTAGCACTGTCTCCATGGACTGGCATGATCTCTCTGGGTTTTCTGGCAAAGGACTACTCCTGCCCTACCTTGAGATGCCAGGTGCTGACACCTGGGACCTGCATGCGAAGCAGAGATAGTTGCAGCCACACGGAAGGAATCTCTCTCACTCACACACTCTGTTGGTTTTGTGCTCTCCTGGTAGCACCAGAGAAGACACCACCGCTTTTGCCTGGGCAGATGAGGCCATCCCTGTCGTCGTCCTTCCTGCCTTTAGGTGCTTTGTGCGTGCAGTTCTGAAAACAGCAACTTCCTTTTGTTTCCTGGCAGGGAGATCTGAAGCAGTTCCTCCGGATTTCCAGGACTAAAGATGAGAAGCTCAAGCCGCAGCCCATCAGCACCAAGCAGAAGGTGAAGTGGGAACTTTGCACCACCAATTTCCCCTGGGGGAACTTTGCACCAATTTCCCTTAGGCAGTTTTATGCTTCAGCATGTGAATAAGCCAAGAGCCCAGGGAGGAGGGAACAAGGCGCAGCCTGCTTCCTGGGGGCCGACCCTGATATAATTCAGTGGTATTGGTCTGAATGCTTGACATGACATATCGGCTACAACCTTAAATCCCCCTTCCAATCCAGGTGTATTTTATTAATGAAATTACTCAATTGCCCTTCACTGCAAGGTCCCAGGGTGGGTTACAACAATAGAATCTACCATTATAAAAAAACAGATAAGAGCATTACAGTACAATGAGAAAACACATAAAGCAGTGTTTTGTTTATATACATTTTTATTAATTTTTTAACATATCATTTCCAACAGTCATTTAACATAACTTCTTTCTATACAATGTTTTAGACTTCTGTCAACAACCTCTGAAGATTTTCCCTTCTTTATCACTTATTCTGCATTTCTGAATTTCTCTAATACTTTTAATTATCATTAACTAATAATTCTCTTCATAATCTTCCTTGCAATATTTCATATAATCCTCCTTACAGAACTCCTTGCAGTCCTACTAGCGTAATCTGCTTATTACAATTGCTTTTCAAATAGTTCAAATATTTACTCCAGTCTTCTAAGAATCTCTGGCCCCGCACGTTTCGAATCCTTCCTGTTAATTTATCTAATTCTGCATAGTCCATTAATTTCATTTGCCATTCTTCTTTCGTCGGTAATTCTTCTTGCTTCCATTTTTGTGCCAAATAAAGTAGTGGCTTTCAACTGGTGTGCTGTGGCACCCTGGGGTGCCTTGAATGATGGCCAGGGGTGCCATATGCACCACTGGCCTCTGCCACTCCTTCCTTCCCTCCCTTCTCTGAGGCCCTCTCACCTCTCTTCCTCCCAAAGGCTTACACAGCTGCTCGTTGCAGCAGCCCTGGCTACAAGCTCCACAGGCGAATGATGCCTCTGGGGCTGGCCAGGGGGTGCTCCCCAGGCCTCTGTGGGGCAGTGTGAGGAGGCACCCCTCTCTCTGGCAGCTCAGAGACCAGGGGCAGCAGCTGCGGCTGCCCAGAGGACTCCCAAGGAGAGTGAAGAGGAGAGGAGGCTGAGGGAACACTCCCCGAGGGAGGGGGTTCGAAAAAGGGGGAGAGGCTGCAGGCAAGGGGCGGCAGAACTGGACAACTCCTGAACCCCACAGTTGTGGCCACAGAAAGAATGTACATGGTACCTTGGGTTACAGACACTTCAGGTTACAGACTCCACTAACCCAGAAATAGTACCTTGGGTTAAGAACTTTGCTTCAGGATGAGAACAGAAATCGCGTGGTGGCAGCGGGAGGCCCCATTAGCTAAAGTGGTGCTTCAGATTAAGAACAGTTTCAGGTTAAGAACAGGCCTCCAGAACAAATTAAGTTCTTAACCCGAGGTACCACTGCAGTTGGTCAAGGGTGCCGTGGGCCCAAAAAGCTTGAAAACCTCTGGCATAAAGCATTCCAGGTGACTTGATTACGCTTTTCCCAAACAGGTGTCCTTCTGCTGCCAGGTGGCCCTGGGGATGGAGCACATGTCCAACAGCAGATTCGTGCACAAAGACCTGGCAGCTCGGAACTGCCTTGTCAGCGCACAAAGGCAGGTGAAGGTGTCCAGCCTGAGCCTCAGCAAGGATGTTTACAGCAGGTAAAGAGAGACTGCTGCACCTCCCTTGGCTGGTCTGAACGCGGCACACTTGGGGGTTTTTAGTGGCCAGAGAACTGACCTGTCCTTTTGCTTCCTTACGAGCAGCGAGTACTATCACTACCACCAAGCCAGGATTCCTCTCCGCTGGATGCCCCCTGAAGCCGTCTTGGAGGACGAGTTCTCCACCAAGTCTGACGTCTGGTCCTTTGGGGTCGTCATGTGGGAAATATTCACCCTGGGGGATATGCCCCATTCCAAGCTGGCGGATGAAGAGGTGCTGTCAGGTACGTACGTCCCCACTGGTGCCTATTCCCCGGGCTTAATCATCATCATCATCATCATCATCATCATCATCATCTATAGCCCGCCCATCTGGCTGGGTTTCCCCAGTCACTCTGGGCGGCTCTCAACAGAATATTAAAAACACGATAAAACATCAGACATTAAAAGCTTCCCTAAACAGGGCTGCCTTCAGGTGTCTTCTAAAAGTCAGATACAGTGGTACCTCAGGTTACAGATGCTTCAGACTCCTCTAACCCAGAAATAGTACCTCGGGTTAAGAACTTTGCTACAGGATAAGAACAGAAATCACGTGGCAGCAACGGGAGGCCCCATTAGCTAAAGTGGTACCTCAGGTTAAGAACAGTTTCAGGTTAAGAACGGACCTCCAGAACGAATTAAGTTCTTAACCCGAGGTACCATTGCAGTTGTTTATTTCCTGGACACCTGAAGGGAGGGTGTTACACAGGGCGGGCGCCACTACCGAGAAGGCCCTCTGCCTGGTTCCCTGTGACCTCACTTCTCACAGTGAGGGGAACTGCCAGAAGGCCTTTGGCGCTGGACCTCAGTGTCCGGGCAGAATGATGGGTATGGAGACGCTCCTTCAGGTATACTGGGCCGAGGCTGTTTAAGGCTTTAAAGGTCAGCACCAACACTTTGAATTGTGCTCAGAAACGTACTGGGAGTCAATGTAGGCCTTTCAGGACCGGTGTTAAGTGGTCTTGGCGTTCGCTCCCAGTCACCAGTCTGGCTGCCGCATTCTGGATTAATTGTAGTTTCCGGGTAGCCCCACGTAGAGAGCATTGCGGTGGTCCAAGCGGGAGATAACCAGTGTACGCACCACTCTGCAGTTCTGTGAAATTACTGTAACCTTTACAAGAGTCTCAGTGCTGAGTTCCAGTAGTGTGTGCTCGTTGCTAAGAGCTGGGCCAGCCGTCCCCTGTGTCCTCAGCCTCCTCTTTTTCTCTCTTTAGGTTTACAGTCTGGGAAGATGAAGCTTCCCCACCCAGAGGGCTGCCCCTCTAAGCTCTACAAGGTGATGCAGCGCTGCTGGGCTCCCAGCCCGAAGGACCGCCCGTCTTTCAGCGAGATCGCCAACATGCTGGGAGAGAGCCCATCCGAAAGCAAGGCCTGAGCAGGGAGGTGCTGCCCGCCCTCCTCTAGCCGGGGTTGGGACACAGCGGCAGCCTGGCTTTTGGCATTTTGACTGTTACAGACTCCTCAAACCGGGACCTAAGAGTTGAAACCCAAAGGGACCACGGGATTTTTACACGCAGCCCCCACGTGGAGGGTCACAGACACAGCGGTCCCGAAGACCTCGAGGCCTCTTTTTTCCTACAAGGCCCACCCACCCCTGTTCCCTTGCGCTCTACCAGACTGCGCTCCTCCGGGTTCTACCTCCGATAATCCGCAGGGCTAGTTGGAAACAGCGACGTCCCAGAGATGAAGGGGAATCTGGGAGCTACCGCGGGCCAGTCACAAAAAGAGAGTCTCTGTGGTGATTCCTCTGTCTCGGGACATCTATCCTTTTCTCCCTCCCCTTGAACAAAACCCCTTTGGGGAATCCTTTTAGCGAAAAGCACAGCCAGGTTCCTTCCAGGAGCTAGAAAGTGTCTTAACATTGGGGGGGGGGTAGCGTGCAGCATGCTGGGGGCTTTTTCTGTGCTGCTATGCAGCCCACCAGGGGTTTTTTTGTGGGGGAGCACTGGGAAGAAGTCTAAAGTAAGCCCTGAGCAACGCCCAGGGGGAGGCTGTCGGCTTTTGTATTTACAGCAAAACCGTGTCCCAGCGCCTGCCCAGGTCCACCTTCTGGGTTTGGCATTTCTTGCTGCCTTGATTTATATTTCTCAGTGCAATGGCTTCAGCAGCAGGAACTCCCAACCCTGTGCACCGGTCATTTTCGAACACCTCCTTCCCCAACCTTCTGCCATATCAGTTGAGCTGACCTAGGAGGCTTTGGAAGGCAACCAACCCCAGCTCCACTCCCTGGGCTGTACGCCTTATCTGAACAGGGTCTAGCAGCCTTTTTGTGTGGCCATATTATCCCCGCCATTTTCTTGGGAGGTTGCCCCCTTCCCCCTTGCACAGAATCTGGTGTCCCACCCACACTGGAAAGGAGGACCCCCCCTTCCTTGCCCGTCACACGCAGTCCTTTTCTTTCATCCGGCGAGGAACCTGTATATTTATTAAGCAGTCCTTCCACCTCTCTTCTCCTCGTGTCGTCCATCTTGTCAGGCCTTCTGGCACCTCCCTGCGTATCCAAAAAAACAGAGCAAAGAACACTTAAGTGCCTGGCATATGAAGGAGATTTTTCACTAGCTTTCCTGACTATCCAATGCCGCCTTTTTATATGATTATTTGGGGCAATGTTTGTTTTCCTTTCTTTCTTACGTTTTTTTTTTTTAAAGTTGACACCTCTCAGCCTTAGTAATTTTTTTATATATATTATTACTGGAATTGCAGCCTAGAGTCATTTTTTTTTTTTTAGTTTCAGTTTGCTTAAGCAGAGGGGTAGAACAGCCAACAGGTGTTCTTTTTTAAAAACAAATAATATGCTGCTCTCAATAAAGAGTCCCTCACTTTTTAAAAAAACCCAAAAGACCAGTCCTGTATTGCTTTTCTCTGCTTCCTCCCCACCCACCCTTCTCCCCCCCCCCCCGCCCTAGGTGGATCCCGCTGTCAAGAATAAAGTTATATTTTATTTGAGGCTCCAAGGAAATCTGGTTGGGTGGAAACTCTCAGCTTGCACAAAGTGACCAGGAATCACTGTGTATTTGGCAAGACGCAAAGAGCACCGTTCTCCGCATCTGCAACATACCTTTAGTTACCAAATCTGTTTGTCAGTGGAAATTAAAGTGTTGTCTCTATCAGGCAAGGGCCATAATTCAGTGCTAGAGCATTTCCTTTGCGTGCGAAAGGTCCTAGGGTTGATCTCTGGCATATGCAGGGAGGCCTGGGAGAGTCACTTACCTGAAACCTTAGAGAACAGCTTCCGGTAGGCAATACTAAGCCAGGTGGCCAATTTGGTCTGACTCTTCCAAGATGGAAGAAAAGAGATTCTGACGGAACATCAAGAAGAACTTTCTGACGGTAAGAACGGTTAGATAGTGGGACGGACTCCCTCGGGAGGTGGTGGGTTCTCCTTAGAGGTTTTTAAACTGGTTGGATTGCCATTTGTTGGGGATTCTTTAGCAGCGATTGCAAGGGGTTGGACTAGATGGCCCTCGGGAACCCTTACTGTTCTATTCGCTCAGGTTTATCTGCAGACGATCAGGAGGGAGAACGTTGCCTTTCGCCGCTTGTAAGAGATATATATCACTGCGCAGCCTTCTCTTGACGACAGAGTACACAAAGAGATTAGTTTTAAAATTCAGGAATTAGAAATGAAGTTCTTTTCTCTCGTCTAACATCAAAGCATGTTACCAATAAAGCATATTTTTAGAGCAATTCATTTCATTCCCTGGACATTTTCGAATGAAGAACTGAACGCATTAGTACAGATTGTACATATGCAAAGTGCCTTTCCCCTCTAGATGTGGTTGGGCGAGCCGTAAAAAGTTTTATCAAATCCTCTCCCGCAAGGCAGAACCACCTCTCCCCTCTTATCTCCACCTCTCCCCAAAACACAGACTAACCTACATAATCAATTGAGGCTACCATTATTGCTCTAAAAACTTCCATTCAGCTGCGCGGTTCCATGTTTGGGATCCACGTCGTCTGAATAAATCGGCTCCACCCTTTTCTATCACTAGTTAGCATGGACCCATGAAGATAATACTACCATGGAAATCTCTCGTTCCTTATGTTGTAAACCACCGTGAGATCTGCGTTTGAAGGGTGGTATACAAATTTAATTACCGTATATTTTGCTCTATAAGACTCACTTTTTCCCTCCTAAAAAGTATGGGGAAATGTGTGCATGTCTTATGGAGCGAATGCAGGCTGCGCAGCTATCCCAGAAGCCAGAACAGCAAGAGGGATTGCTGTTTTCACTGCGCAGCGATCCCTCTTGCTGTTCTGGCTTCTGAGATTCAGGATATTTTTTTTCTTGTTTTCCTCCTCCCAAAACTAGGTGCGTCTTGTGGTCTGGTGCGTCTTATAGAGCGAAAAATACGGTAATAATAAATCATCATTGGTATTGTATAGATTTTTTTCTTTCTTTTAAAAACCACATACAAAGCTAGCAGGCACACCAGCTCCTAGGGGCCAAGGCTGAGGCAGTTTTGCCACCCCCAATGTATTTTTTGAAGTGGCTGGCCCCCTCAATATTGGGGGGGGGGGGTCTCTGTCCCCTGGCTCCTCACAGTGTGGCGTGCATGACGTCACTGAAAGACAGTGGCTGTCCCAAGGTCGCCCAGTGAGCTTCATGGCTGGGGGCACGGGATTTGAACCTGGATCTTCCCAGTCCTAGCCAAATTGCCACACCAGACTGTCTTTCACATATAACAAGAGGTGCAGCTACCAAGAAGACCGTGTCTCGAGCAGCCACACACTTTACCTCAGGCAGCGGACTTTGATGGGTGCATGACAAGATTTATTCAATCCACTCCAAGAGAACTCCGATAATGTTATTCCTGTTCTGGTAACGTTTGGGCTAAAAGTACACACCGTACCAATTTTAAACCCTTTTAAAAATATGTCGTTACAAATTCCTCATAGCAGCTTCGGTTTAATTCCTCTAATCCCAGATTTCTGACAACAGCAACAAAAGCCTAAACTTTCCTCTGAAATCCATGGGAGAGAGGAAGCACAGATGGAGCTAACTTAAGAAGGGAAATCCAGAGACTCAAAAGACGCCAGCAGAGAAGGCCCTGCTATATTTAGGGCAAAACTGAGCACAGGGCTGATGGCCCAGGCATTTGGAAGGGGCTGTGCAAGGGACTTTGATGGGTGTCAATCACCTAGTGCCGGCAGAAATGGCCGATGAAGTCCCCAGCCTTTGCCCTCTTGCAGCAAGAACACAACAACAACAACAACGCTGAATTTTTGAGGTTTGGAAAGTTGTTAGGAAAAATGCATCAAAATATTTTGGATGGATGAATGACTAGTGGGAAGACCTTTCAACAAGCATGTTAATAAGTTTGAGACCGTTTTAAAACCGATAGGATCCTTCATCTGTAACCCTGCTGCAGGGATTACCCGTAGCGGTAACTCCTCCTAAGAAGCTAGACTGGCTGCCTCCTTGTGTCCTACCAGCAGGTGAAAACATTCTATTAAGACTACATTAATAGGGTGGTTCATGCTTACTTAATTGTTATATGGTTTTAATAGAGAGATGATGATACAGTGGTACCTCAGGTTACAGACACTTAGGTTACAGACCTGCTAACCCAGAAATAGTACCTCGGGTTAAGAACTTACTCAGGATAAGAACAAATCGCACGGTGGCAGCAGGAGACCCCATTAGCTAAAGTGGTGCTTCAGGCTAAGAACAGTTTCAGGTTAAGAACGGACCTCCGGAACGAATTAAGTTCTTAACCCGAGGTACCACTGTAGATAGATAGATAGATTTAATTCTTTCAGTGTTTAATTGCTTTTTAATTATTTTTTTCTATGTTTTTAGCAGCTCTTGTTTTTATCTGTAAGCCGTCCTGAGTTCTGTCAGGGGGGAAAGGGTATGAATAAGTATACAATAAAAGCAACTATAATAAGCTTTGTATTATAAGCAAATCAGGATGACCTAAATTAACAAGTTGTCCGGAGGAGCCCCATGAGGGCAGAAACTTTTAAAAAACAAGAAACTGCTGAGGTTCTTAGGATGCTGCGCTTAATAGTTTTAACTTCTTCCAGGTGATTTTTCTTCAATTTGCAGTGTTGCGCTGGGAGAAGAGAAAACCCAAAAACTTTTTCTTTTCTTTTTTGTAAATGCTGCATTTCAGTTATGTTCTACATTCTACATTTGACCTCTGATTCATATAAGCAAAGCCCAGAGAGAACTATTTTCACTGAGAGTCTTACCTTTTGGGTGCCATTCCTCCAATCACCACTGGAGGGTACTGTGTTGTAGGAGAACACCTAGTCTAGGGAAGTTATCTAGGACAGCTTTATAATTGAGAATTTATCCTGATTTCTTTGCAGGCAAACTAGGTGATGTTCAGACCTGTTTACAGAGAGGCTAGGTGACACTGCTTCAAAGCAAGCATTACCTGTCACTTTCTATCTGACATCCCTTTCCTTTCCCCCAAAAGTCCGATTTTTGCGGGGGGGGGTGTTGTTGCACAAGACCTCAGTCAGTTGCACAACCCGATTTTGCAGATATTCCGTTGAATCCCACCCAAAAGCTGTGATAGTCTAAAGGTCCAGTTGTATAAGGTATTACAATTTGCTGATCTCCCCATCTGTGTGATTTCTTGAGAAGGATATGTCGTTTTCTTAATCTGCTCTGGCTTTACGGTGAGCTTTGGAGACCTGTTTGTTTCCAATCTTCTTTTAGCCGAAATGCCTTTTAGTTGGGAAAATTTGAGCTAGTTTCAGATTATTAGTGGCTATTTTACTGCTATTTAAATGACATTTTTTATAGATTGGCTGGACTTTTGAGTGGTGTGTGTTTTTAAGGACTGTTTTATATTATGGCGTCATATCTGATATCATTATTATTATTTTATTTATAGTTTTATTGTTAATGTAAACTGGCTTGGGAGGGCTGTCTTCCTTTTGCCCTGCAAGGCATCTTAAAAGTACTTTGAGAAACAACAACAGGAGAAAACAGCCAGCCCCACCACTACCTTTAGCCAGTATGATCAAAATGTCAATCAAAATGTCTTAAAGGAAAAATGTGCTAGATATGGGATCTACCAGGGATGTGATTTTTCTCATGTGCGTATGAGACACAAGGAGCCCTATCTAAAGGTATAGATCTTTTTTGGAATGGTGCAAATATACAAGAGTTGCATCATCATCATCATTTATTATTTATACCCTGTCCATCTGGCTGGGTTTCACCAGCCACTCTGGGCGGCTTCCAACAAAATATTAAGAATACAATAAAACATCAGACATTAAAAACTTCCCTAAACAGGGCTGCCTTCAGATGTCTTCTAAAAGTTGGATAGTTGTTTATTTCCTGGACATCTGATGGGAGGGCATTCCACTGGGCGGGTACCACTACCTAGTTCCCTGTAACCTCACTTCTTGCAGTGAGGGAACTGCCCGAAGGCCCTCGGCGCTGGACCTCAGTGTCCGGGCAGAATGATGGGGGTGGAGACGCTCCTTCAGGTATACTGGACCTAGGCTGTTTAGGGCTTTAAAGGTCAGCACCAACACTTTGAATTGTTCTCAGAAACGTACTGGGAGCCAATGTAGGTATTTCAAGACCAGTGTTATGTGGTCTCTGCGGCTGCTTTGTTTTGGTGCCAACTCTTGGGGAGGGGAGTGCACTTCCTAAAGTTCCTAGTGTTGTCAGTGACTCTCCAGCATGGAGGGGTGTAAGAAGAGAAGGGGGGTTGTCCCCCTGAAGGATTGGTATTGGCAAGGTTTGTGGCTGACACCAAATTAAATACTTGTACTATATGTAGGCTATAGAAGCTGTAATATATTGCTGAGGGCGCCAAGAGAAGAGAAGAGAAGAGAAGAGGGAAGCAAGTCTACGACCACCAGTTA